GGACCCACCTTCTCCCTCATCAAATGTCATAATACAGGTAGACTGTATATTCTGTATGTCGACAATGTGATAAATCAAAAATGACATGTTAGTGGAAAAGACGTTTTGAGACAACTTGGATTACTCCCAAAAAGATTTGTCCTATATGTATGGAAGGAAACGCTATTAAGACAGCATTTCAACAGAATGAAAATCGTGCGACAAAAATAGGAAAGAATTTGTGCACAGTGGCCTATGTGGACCAATAACGCCTTATAGAATAACTGGAGGAAAATATTATCAGGTAATCTTGGATGACTTTTCACATTTAAGGTAATCCGTTGATGAATGGTAAAGCAGAACGTATGATCCGAACATTTTTAAATATGAACAGGACTAAGATTATTGACTCAGGTGTACCCAAGACACTGTGGGGAGAAACATTGATGAAAGACTTGACCAACAAGGTAGAAATGAAACAGGGCATGGTAGCTCTGTTGGTAGAGCGTTGCACTGTATATGCCAGGGTCTTGGGTTCAAATCTTAGTTAAGGCAAGAACATTTTTCGTCAATTTCAATTGGAACGTCTGCATGCCACGAAAATCCAACACACTAAAATTATATAACAGACGATAAAACTGTCATCAGTGTATGTTTTTTTTTTTTTAAATAGCTTTATTAATGACCCAAAACCAGTTTACAGCAAACTGGCACGAGGGCCTACATCATTCAAACCAATTAAATAAAATTATACAATATGATTCTATTATAAATTTTGACACAAATTAATGCATTTTTTATTCTTCATTCTTCTTTCTTCACTCTTCATTCTTCATTCTTCATTTTTGAAGTGAAACTTTTTCACGCACGGTAGGACAAAAAATTGATTTCATTCATAAAATAAAAAAATTGTAACAAAAACACGCAACATGCAACACTAGGCATGTTCTTTTCTCACACGTAGTCGAGTTAGTAGTAGGGATCGCCTAATATAGCCACTACCATTAACCCTTTTCCTGGTATGCTTGTGCGTGTGAAAAAGTTTCACTTCAGTAGCATGTTTTATAATTACACGATGTATTTTTCTTTCTTCTTTTCTTCGCGTTCCAGGCAACTGCTGGTAGAATACATTCGTTGTAGACTTTATCAGTTTTCAGCTTTAAAGGTAGGACCGGAATATGTGTCGCATTCTACCATACGCCGCACATCCCAGTCGTATTCTCCTATTAATTTCAAGCTCTTGATTGGCTTTGCCAAGAGTTAGAATATACCTAAACAAAATCAAGGAAACACAAATGATTTGAATCAAAACTTCAACCAATATCAATCAACAAAAGAAGATAAGTACAGAACACTCAAGAAACGAAAGCAGAGAGTTATGTTATCAAGAAAGTGTACAAGAAATCGAAAATGCAAACAGTAGAAATAAAAAATCAAATACAAGCTCGAAGTAGAAGAAGAAATCAAAGACCAAATCATCTAGATGCATAGGAAATTTATGAGGCCTATTGTTTAATGTCTGAATCATAATCTGATGAGCCAAAAACCTTTAATCAAGCCAAAAAATTTCTAGAATCAAACAAGGCCAATCATTGTAGGGATGTCAGATGCCGATTGGGGAGGAGATATACAGATTACAAAGGGTGTCAGCGGATTTATATATTTTCATTCTGGAAATCCCATAGTTTGATAGGTACCTACTCTAAAAAGCGAGATTTTGTTGCTTTATCAAAGCATATAGATGTTAAAGGTGTTTATCAGAATCCAATAACCAGATGGAAAAAACTGTTAAGCTAAGAGTGGAAAATATGAGTGCAATTTCAATGAAGGAGATATTTGAGAGCTCAACGTTTTGCTGATTCGTTTACAAAAGGTTTACTAGAATCATTGTATCTATTTATATTATACTCATAGTATAATATGTATTGCACTCATTATTTTCAAAATATTAGATTTTTGGAAAGTGAAAGCAGGTAGGAACTTAGACTTTTTTTCAATTTGTTTTCAATGATATGTATTTTTTGTTTATATTAGTGTCATTCAGTCAGCTGTGGATGTCAAGTCACAAAATGTATTCCGTTTATACATCGAGTTACACCAAACGTGTCGTTCTAGAGCTCCTCGGAGTCACTCCAAAACATACAATTCAGATATTATCATTATACTTCAATATCAACATTACCTAAAAGGGCTTCTTGCACCCCATGCAAATTTTGTGCATCAGGGAGAGGGGGATGCAGGGGAATACAGTGAAAACTGTGCAACCTGTGCACTGTGCACAAGGTTTGATAACAATAACATTCCATTGAGGAGGCGTGTAAAGTATATCACAACTGTCACCAGTTCGCAGTAGAAAGTTGTTTGAGAGTTAACTTAAAGTTAACTTCTGGAATTACACGTAATTCAAAAAGTTAACTTCAAGTTAACTGTCAAGGCAGTTTTATAATACCCGCCCTAACTTGAACTAATCCATAATACTTCAGACTATGGCAGATAGACAATAGTTGTATTCCTTTCAAGAGTTTGAAACACTTAAGCTACTCGCTCCGGTGTTTAGTCGCCCCCGATTTGCAGGGAACAGATGCGTGGTGCAACAAACATTTTTCGAAAGGAATAAGCGCGTGAAGCCCCGGAGCTGTTCCAGAGCTCCTCCTAGGTATGAAAGGAATACAACTAATATGAAACGCTCACAAACGAACGCCCGAAAGCAGGAAATGCTGTCCCGAACAACACAAACAAACAAACCTGGAGTGTCTGTCTTGTCTGGGTCTATGTTCATATTTCGAAAACAGACATTTCGAATCTTTTATTTCGAATGCTTTTATTTCGAAAACTTTTATTTTGAATTACCTTTTTTTCGAAATTCAATCATTTCGAAAACATGCATTTCGAAAACTTTCATTTCGAATTATCTTTTCTTCGAAATTCAATGATTTCGAAAACATTTATTTCGAAAACTCTTATGTCGAAATACTTTCTTTTCGAAATTCAATCATTTCGAGAAGATTTATTTCGAAAACTTTTTTTTCGAATTACTTTTTTTTCGAAAATCAATAATTTCGAAAACATTAATTTCGAAAATAATACTTTCGATCATCAATAATTTCGAAAACAATAATTTCGATATTTAATAATTTCGAAAACATTTATTTCGAAACTCAATAATATTATCATGATCTTTGTGCAGTGCGCTCCAGCAGACAATATTAAACTTACCGATAATAACCGGGTTAGTTTGGGTTAGTTTGCAATTTTAATCAGAAATTACCAAACTTACCGATAATAACCTGGTTAGTTTGGGTTATTTTGCAATTTAATTTCTGGTTATAATTGCAAACTAACCCAAACTAACCAGGTTATTATTGGTAAGTTTGGTAATTTCTGATTAAAATTGCAAACCAACAACTTACCCAAACAAAATTATTGTTTTCGAAATTATTGAATTTCGAAAGGAAAGTCATTTGAAATGAATGTTTTCGCAATAAATGTTTGCGAAATATATGCTTTCGAAATGATTGAATTTCGAAAAAAAAGTAATTCGAAATATAAGTTTTCGAAATAAAGGTTTTCGAAATGATTGAAATTCGAGAAAAAAGTATTTCGAAATAAAAGTTTTCGAAATAAATGTTTTCGAAATGATTGAATTTCGAAGAAAAAGTAATTCGAAGTAAAAAATTTCGAAATAAATGTTTTCGAAATGATTGAATTTCAAAAAAAAAGTAATTTGCAATAAAAGTTTTCGAAATAAATGTTTTCGAAATGATTGATTTTCCAAATAAAAGCATTCAAAATAAAAGATTCGAAATGTCTGTTTTCGAAATATGAACATAGACCCGTCTTGTCTGTATGGTCATTGAAATTACCAATATAATAAAATAATCCAGAGCGGTCAAGCGGTTTCTCAAGGTTAGATTGCATTTTAGTATTAAGAAAATATCGAAAATACGTTGTGATTAATGTTTCAATCCAGATATTCTGCACCTGTCATAAATGACTTTTATAACATCATGTATGTGCAATGGGAAAGGAATGGTGCGTAAGATTTGTCTGAACCGGTTAGCGTTAGTGCGGTGCAGTTATGTTTTGGAACGCAACCATCTGAACTACACCGGAAAATGCTACGCTGCACGGTACGAATGGTGTAAAAAGTGCAACATTGATGACGGGTCAGGGTAAAACGTGTCAAGTAGTTCGGATTTATCGTACGCACCTTAAACGGTACGAATGGTGTAAAAAGTGCGACACCAATGACGGGTCAGGGTAAAAAGTGTTAGTAGTTGGACACTTGACGCAAATTAATTACTAACAGGCACATAATTTTTCCAACAAATAAAGAAGTTATGAAAATTTGGAAGTAGTTAATTTCACTTTTTCCCAACCATGTATCAGCTCAATCAATTCAAATAAATATTCAGGTTAAAAACAAAAACAAAAATACCATTGAAAACACTGACCAATCCAAAGAAGTGCACGCAAAAGTAATATAACCGTAATCACAATTTAATGAGAAGCAACTACATAGTGGTTTCATATGGCTATCCACTCTAAAACAACAAGATAGATGAGCAAGGTGACACAAATGAAGCATATGCTCTTTTTTTGGACCCATACACCAAAGTAAATTAAATGTTAGCTCGTTTAGAAGTGGCAGAAGTAAGCCATGAGCATGACTGCTCTTTCAATAAAGTAAATAAATTAAATTAAAACTAAATAAATGTTAGCTTGTTTGGAGGTGGTAGCTGATGCGGAATAATTTGAAGATATGCAATACTTTCATTTTCAATAATTGCCACGTGTCAAGTACCTATCGGGTCGTTATTAATTTTAGCTCAATATTCATTAAATGAATACCTACATGCATAGATTAAATGACTTCAAAATAAAGGTAATGCAAGTCCACAATTGTTTTCAAGTTTAAGTTTGCTTGAGCAAAAGAACTTCAATAAATCCCAATTAGTTCAATTTTAAATGAAAATTAAATTATGAATTTTGTGAGTACATAATCAGTGGGAAGTCATTACCTTGAGCATTATCCAGTTAGATGTCATTTCTTTGAGCAACATAAAGATTCTGTGGAATTTCTCCTATATGTCATCTATATTGGACTTGATTATATTATTGTTCACCTTTCAAGTTTTACCTAAGTTGGCCTAAAGGTGTTCAACAGGTATCCGGGATCATCTGCAATATATAATTATTAGTAATGAAATTAATTGAAATGAAAAATGATGCTTGCGTGAACAATGTCATGCTTTAAGGACGACTATGAGCTCACCCAATCAATTTTTGTATGGCTTCATATTGCAAATCAAGACAAGTTAACTCGGTTCCACTGGTCCACAATGCCTTTGCTTGTCTCATCCCTGCCTGGTATATTTAGCCAATGTTGTAGACTCTGTTGTCCGCCTAGGTTTGATTTGTCGTGTCATGAGCAATGCCGAGCACAAAGTTGATCCCGTTCTGGCAAGAAGATCCGCCATTGCATTGCCCTCAAGGTGATTGGGTCCAGGTATCCATACTAGGGTTGGTTTGTTATGTTACCTTAGTTCACATAAAGCGTGCTGACATCTAGGCTGTTTTTGACTTCCATTGGCGGTGCAGCTTTACTGTCAAAACATATTTGCGAGTTTGAGTCAGTTTGGGTTAGTAGGTACAGTCATTTTAATGGCATGTACTTTTTGAAAAATGGTTGAGAGCCCATATTGTCCCCCAGTAAATAAGTAGTGACTCACCTTTTTGATTGCCTTTGCTCGTCTCATCCCTGGTATATTTAGCCAATATTCCTAGACTTTGTTGTCCGCCTAGGTTTGATTTATAGTGTCATGAGCACTGGCTATGGCCCAGTAAAGTTGATCTCGTTCTGGCAAGGAGATCCGCCATTGCATTGCCCTCAAGGCCAGCGAATCCGGGTATCCTTAGTTCACTTAGGACCGGTTTATTAGTGGGTGGTTATCTAGTTTAGCTGTCGGTTGACCAATGATAATAATTATCAGTTAACCAACAGCTTAACTAAATAACTGTCCACTGATAAACCAGTCCTGAGTGAACTAAAGAAACAACAAAGTAACCCTTTGCGTTCTCATCTGAGCCATTTTGGACTTCTAGTTGGTGGAACAGCTTGGCTGTCAGAACATATTTTTATGGTTTTGTCAGTTTGAGTTAGAACAGACGTGTATCAACTTGAAAATTTGTTGAGAGGCAGTAAATAGTTGAGTAGTGACTCACCTTTTCAATTATTATCAGTGCTGCCGTAGACTGTGTGGTGAGAATTCGCCTCACATCCAATTACCAAATGTTAGTGGTCGACACTGTGAAGTAGCTCGAAGAGGCTCTTCTGGAAAGTATGCATAGTAGACTGCGTGTCCTACCCCTCCAGAAAAGTTACCTGCACAAAATAACTTAAGGTCAATTATTGTGATAAGTATACATGGTCTGGGCTTTATTCCAAGACCCATTGTGATGATTACCTTAGGTGATCGAGATAACAATGATGACGTCACATTGCCTTTTCATTTGGAAATACGGTAAGGTAGGATGACAAGTGATAGAGCATTTCTTAAGTTCAATCTTGTTTCCAGACTAAACTTTGAAATCTACTGTAGTGATTCAACTAGCGCCGTCTTCGAACTTTCTACCCTTCACTTGTAGGTACAAAAACCTCTTCTTACTCAATATATGATTTTCTCAACACCAATTTTAATTAAAAGAAATGCTGACAGAACAAAAAAAAATTGATTTTTTGGAAATTCATTACAAATTTTGATAAAAACAGAAAAGATTTAATGTTAAAACTAGTTTTTTAAAGACTCAACAACATGTCACGGCATATATGGTGCCTCTTCAGACCAATAATAACTGAGCTTTCTTATTCTAACTTGTTGTTTGTTTTGAGCTGCATGCTATATATACTATACTTGGGAAATTACTCTGTATGCACCCAAAGAACACACTGTTTGTCGAAACATATATTTTGATAATAAAATAAATTGTGAAAATCTAATAAAGACTTATTGGCAATTGGCCAAGCTTTAACAAGAACATTTACTATGGCTATTGTTAAGGAATTAGATGAGTTATAGTATTCGGTTTCCCTAAGTATATTAGGTATAATGGGATTTGTATGATGTGAACACAGTCCTCTACAAAAAAATACCGAGTCATCAAAACTCTAGAGAAAAAAAGTCTTCAAGGTCTAACTAACTGTTTTCAAGCTACAACTTTTTGAATATTGTGCCTAAAAAACCTTGGCAAACTATAGTCTATTTGGAAAAGCGAAACCATTGCAAATCAATGTCATAATCGACTCGCCATAGGCGTCCCAGATGTTTTCTGAATAAGTTAATATTAAATTTTAAAATGTACAGGGAGAATCGTATGCATAAAAAATGCGTGTATAATTAGAATGAGAGGTATGTTTTGCCATGTATCAAATATGACAATAAAAATATCTCTCACTCTCTCTGTATGCTTTTATTATGCATATCGCCCTGCATCTATTATTGTGATTAGTCAGATATTTACTGGGGTATTAAAAATATTTTATTAAACATAAGTGGTAGGTACGTAGGTATATGGGTTAATTAATTATATGTAGGTACCTACCTATACATATACTTAAACTACAGGTAGCCACAATAGACTTTTCCATTTTCAGTAACTGTAAGTCATTTAAAAAGTGGAAAAAATATTTGAGGAAGATTTAACAATTTTGAAATGAAAAAAGAAACATCTATTATTTAGATGAAACCTCAATAAACGCTGGACATACAGTAGAAAAAATGTGGCAGGATTAAAACATCACAAGTTCTCGGCAAGCTTTTTGAGAAGGTTTTTCTTTTATCCACGGGAATAAAACCTTTATCTGAAAAACGATATATATTAATTATTATCACCCATATTGGCAATGAAAAAGGACTGTTCGAAAAAAGAAGAAAGGGAAAAGACTCTCTGTCCGGTAGAGCAAATTCCCAGCGAAGAAGAAAATATGCTTCTGGGCGAATAGAAAGCCAACACTCCACCACACCAGAAGAGACAATAATAACAGGTTAGATGGCGAATTACACCAAAATAGCCCATCAGGACCATCTGCTTCCATAACCCGGTTGTTCACGTCGGCACACTTGGGGACCTTATTAATCCAAGAACCTTAAATATATAAGGGGCAGATCAAAGGTCTACCAAGTAAAGGCCGGGGCCTAACTAATCTGGGACAGTTGGTGTAACGAACCTAGAGCGTGCATTCTCCTGGGACAGTCGGTGTAACGAACCTAGAGCATGCATTCTCCTAAAAGAGAACATTAATAATTTATGTGTTCCAGAATTTACGTCGCGGGACTTGGTCACTGTTCGGGTAAAACTTATTACCGACCAACCACACCGCGACCTAGTACTGGCATCAGGTTACTTCGCTGAAGATGGGCAAGCACCGCCAGAAGAAGTACAAAGACTAGACGAGTACTGCAACAGGTGCAAACTACGGCTCCTAATTGGCTGTGACGCCAACGCCCACAAAACCATCTGGGAAAGAACCGACACAAATCTAAGAGGCGAACAACTGTTAGAATTTATCTTTCAAACAAACCTAAATATAGGTACTAAATGTAGGGAATACACCAACATTTGTTACTAGGGTCACAGGAAGTGTTAGACATAACACTTTTTAGTCCAAATATATAGACCAAATGATCAGGAATTGGATGAACCTTCTCTCTCTGATCACAAAATCATAAAGTTTGACGTAAAAGGAGTGCAGGAATCACTTCGTATAGAAACTGGGAAAAATACACAACCAAACTGCAATGTAACCTTGAACAAAATCATTTTAATTGCAAGAATATACGTGAAGTAGAAGAAACCCTTCAGATCCTTAACGGAGCAATCATGGAGGCATACGAATCCAGCTATCCCGTGAAAGAACAAGTAAAAAAAAATGGTTGCCCATGGTGGAACAGTCACCTGCCACGACTTAGATCCGAGGTTCGTTGGTTTTCCAACAAAGCCAAACGAGACGGAGAATGGCAGGGCTACACCGAAAGGCTGACTGGGTACAAAAAAGAAATAAGGAAGGCCAAGCGAAAAAATTTCAGAGACTTCTGTGAATCTATCACAGAAACACCATCAGCAGCTTGATTATACAAAACCCTGGCGGAAGGCGCAAGGACTATTGACACTTAAGAAACCAGACAAAAAATTAAGAGCAACAAGCTGCTCTACTACTGAACTGAAAACTCACTTTCCAGGAAGCACACCCAATGATACTGAAGAAAACAAAGGGCGGCCCAGGAAAACAAGGCAAGAAAACTGGGAGGTTGCCAAGAACCTTTGCACTCCTCAGCGGCTTACTTGGGTGATCGACTCGTTCCAACCGTTCAAGTCGCCTGGAGTTGACGGCATCTTTCCAGCTCTGCTGTGAAAAGAGCATAATGAAATCATGCCATATCTAATCAAACTCATCAGATACAACTTGCCGACCGGATACATACCCAGTCAATGGAGATGAAGAGCTAAAGAAACTTTCATCCCAAAGGCAGGGAGAAGAGACGCTACTCTTCCGAAGTCGTTCAGACCTATATGGCTCACGTCGTTTTTGCTTAAAACAGGTGAGAAAGTTGTAAATAACCACATCAGAACAAGTGTTTTAGAAAAGACCCCACTACATCCTAGGCAACATGCTTACAGAGCGGGCAGATCAACAGAAACCGCTTTACTTGAACTTGAACTCACCGACAGTATCCAAAGCACATTGCATAATAAAGAAGTAGCCGTCTGCGCCTTCTTGGACATAGAGGGGGCATTTGACAACACCTCTCATGAGTCAATAAAGAATGCGTCAAAAAAGGAGTGGACAAAACCAACCGAAACGCTAGCAACCAGAACTGCAGAAACTGATATGGGTGAACAAACCATACAGGTCACCACCACTAGAGGATGTCCGCAGGGAGGGGTACTCTCACCTTTGAGTGGAGTCTAGTGGTTGATGACCTCCTAAATTCATTGACCGAGGAGAGCGAAGGAATACTCTGCGACCTTATAGAAAGAGTAGGTACTTCGAACCATGAAAAAATGATGTCAGACAGTGGGGCTGAATCTAAACTCAGCAAAAACCACACTGGTAGTATTTACAAAAAGAACCAAACTCCCAAACCTGAGAAATATTTGCCTCGATGGAAGCAGACTTGATTGGAAAAAGAAGTTAAATTCCTAGGAATAACCATAGATTCTAAACTTCTCTGCAACCGACATCTAGAGAACACAAAAAACCAAAGCAATCTCGGCACTCGCGGTCTACAAAAACATTGCGGGTAAAACATGGGGTTGTAACCCATCAGTCCTAAGATGGATGTATACCATGATAGTGAGACCTATCATTACCTACGGAACGGTAGCCTAGTATAGCCAAATCCAGTTAGTAACAGCTAGGAAAACCCTAGGAAAAGTGCAGACTCGCGTGTCTCTGTATAACAGGAGCAATGAGATCATGCCCAACCGCAGCACTAGAAGTCATTCTAGACCTCACACCACTCCACAGAATAGTGAAGCGGGTTGCCAGTGGATCATGTCTCAGACTGGAGAAGATAGGTCTACAAAAAAAAACGCCTCTGGGCAGAACTTTTCATCTCCCAAACTGTGCACACCTCATGGATCTACCAAAAGACGTGATTGTTGATAAATTCAGTTTCGAGAAAAACTTTACCATCGAACTAAGTACAAAAAAAAGACGGAACATGGAATCTATCCAATCCCTCAAAGCAAACACCATCAAATGGTACACAGCCGGTACCAAAACTGCTGAGGGA